AAAACTCAACATAGTTAAGATGTCGATTCTCCCTAAATTCATTGATAGAGTCAATGCAACCCAGACAGGGCTTTTTATGAAAATACAAAGAGCCTAGAACACAATTTTGAAAAAAAAGTACAAAGTTGGAAGACTTAATACTATAAGATATCAAGACCTACTATAAAGCTACAGTAATTGAGATAGGCTGCAATTAGCACGAGGAAAGACGAGATAGAATAATAGAATATAAGAGAATCTGGAAACAGACTAACACATATATGGCCACTTTATTTACAATATAGGCACCATCACAGTCAGTGGGAAAAGGGTGGTCTTTTCAACAAATGCTGCTGGAAAATAAAATAACCCTTAACCTTTACAGACAAAAATAATTCAAAGTGGATCATAGGCCAAAATATGAAATGTAAAATAATAAAGCCTCTAGAAAAAAAGGAATAGGATATTTTCATGAACTTGAGGCAGGCAACATTTCTTAAACACTGAAGGGGATGCACGGACGAAGGAAGCACGCGAGACCCAGGCTAACAGTTCGCCAGAGAAGTTCCGCTTTATTCAAGGACTGCGCGTACATTTATAGGGTGCTGTGCTCCGGGGCGGGAGAGAGAGTGGACGGGGCAGTAACTGATTGGACGGGGATGGGCCGGAGGTGAGCCTTGACCTGTGACTGGCTGAGGTTTGGCGCGGGTGGGCTTGGGTGCTGGCGCCAGCGGGCTTGTTTACTGCGGAGAAGAACCAGGAAGGGCGCCATATTGCCAGGGTGTGTCCCTGTTCAGGTGCCCATGGGGTCCCTACAAACATGACAAAAAAAACAACACTAACCATAAAAGAAAAATTGATAAACTGGACTTCATTAAAATTAAAGCCTCTGTCCATCAAAAAACACCATTATGTACACATGAGGAGACTTCCACTTCAGGAAGATGGAGTAGATAGGCTTTTCCCTATCCTTCCCACAAGAACAGCTAAAATCCTGGACTGTTTATATAAAATAAACATAAGAAGACTCTGAAAGGTAGCGAGAAGGCAGACTGGCTAGGGAACCTTGGACCTGAAGAAAGAGACAGCAGTGCATTCCCTAGGTTTGCTTTTTGCCTCATATATCCAACTGGGTGCTAGAGAAGAGAGCAACCCAATAATGCTAGTGGCCCCCCAAAAATGCCCTAAAAAGCTCCTGCTCTCTCTAGCCAAAGGACAAGGTAAGGCACAGCCTAATATAACAGAAAACTTTTAGACAATAACTATTCCAGCCAAACACCACAGAAAAAACTGCAACCCCACCCTCACCCCTGCCTGCAAAAGGTAAATGGGAAACCTAGACTTCTACCTTCACCAGGCTGTAAGGAAGTGTCCTACCCTGCCCTTACGGTACAGCAGGGACTCTTATCCCTGCTGAGTGGTAAGGAGCCTCCCCCAGTCCCACCCACAGTGTCAGTGGAGAAATGTGGGCAGCCTGGTTCTACCCCCACCCAGAATTTACAAGGAACACCTTCCCACCAGGTGTCAATGGAGGCCAAGGGGGGAGCCTGGACTGCCACTTTTACCTGGCAGAGATGTGGTGGAGCCCCAGTTGGAGCAGTATCAGAGGAGTCCTGCTATAAGAGAAGATTTAAATAAGTTCCAGAATCTCATAGTGCCCAAAATGCCCAAGTTTCAATTGAAAATCACTCATCATACTAAGAACAAGAAAAATCTCAACTATAATGAAAAAAAGGCAATCAACAGATTCTAATACCAAGATGACATAGAAGTTAGAATTATCAGGTAAGGATTTTAAAGAAGCCACCATAAAAATGCTTCAACAAATAAATATATTTCAAACAAATGAAAAAACAGAAAGTCTCAGCAAAGAACAGAAGCTATAAAGAACTAAATGGAAATTTGAGAATAAAAAATACAGTACCTTAAATAAAAAACTCAATGTATAGGTTCACAGGAAAGAATCAGTAGCCGTGAAGATAGAATTACCCAATCTAACTAAGAGACGAAAAACAGACTTAAAATTAAAAAAAAAAATGAACAGAGCTTCGGGGAACTGTGGGACTATAACAAAAGATGTAACATTCCTATCATTGTAATAGCAGAAGGAGAGAAGAGGTGAGGCTGAAAAAAATATGTAAAGAAATGATGGCTGAAATTTCCCCAAATTTGGCAAGACATAACTTCAAAAAGCTGAGCAAACCCTGAACGGGATAAACCCAAAGAAATTCTTGCTAGTATATCACAGTCAAACTTCTAAAATCTAAAGACAAAGAAAAAAATCTTGAAAGCAGTGATGAAGAAACAATACCTTACCTACAAAGGGAAAATAATTCAAAAGACAGATTTCTCATCAGAAATCACGAAGAAGGCCAGAAGGAAGTAGTACAATATTTTTCTTTTTTTTTTTTTTTTGCTGTAACCAACTGAGCTAACTGGCCATCCCTGTGTTTTTCAAGTGCTGAAAGAAAAGAACTGTTAACCCAGAATTCTATACCCAGTGAAAATATCGTTCAGGAATAAAGGGGAAATTAACACTTTCTCAGATAAAGGAAAACTAAGAATTTTTTCTTTTTTAAGATGACTGGTAAGGCGATCTTAACCCTTGATTTGGTGTTATCAGCACCACGCTCTAACCAGCCAGGCCTGTTTCTCTTTATTGACGTAAGATCTAGTGGTGGGTCTAATAATCACTGCAATTTTGAAGTAGCTGAAAATGACATTTTGAGATAACTGTAACAATTATTGAGAAATGAATATGTGATTCCTGTCAGTGACAAAAATCAGAAGTTCTGCTAGTACTAATTGGTTTGTTGCTGTCTAGCTACATGACCACGCTAGTTGTCGGGCTCTTTTACCTGCCGGTAATCCTGCCAACTTGGCTGATTATAGAGCTAGGGCTGGGTCTGAAGCCCACAGACCCCTCAGGCCTGTTCACAGACTGGGTCACAAACCCTTCATACGCCAGGCTGGGTCACCAGACCCCTTACACGCAGGTCTATGAGCTAGGTAACCGGCCAAAAGGTCCTTGGAGCCATAGGTTGGAAAGCATGGCCGAGCCTGGCGGACGCCTGAGGCCAACGCCAGCCCACCTGCTTCACTAACCTCCCCCCACTCAAGAACACACACACACACACACACACACACACACACACACACAATTTGCTTACAAAGGATGTGCTAAAACCACACCCAACCAGAGCTGAGGCGAGGGTCCTGACCAAACTATTCTATTTTCCCAACAGTTGCCTACATTCATAATCAAACGAAATGTTAAATTTCACTTAAAAGTTAATGAAACTAAAGATTCATGGATAGAAACCCTGATTCTATCCATGGAGACCTAGTTAAATACTCCAGGACTAGAGGCTTCCCCCAAACAGTAACTGTGCTTATCTCCAAATGATGGAAGTATGAGTGATTTAAATTTTTCTTCTTTTCTGTAGTTTTCAAATTTTCCACAATAGGCAAATATCACTTTTACAATTATAAAAGAATGATATGTACAAAAATAAGCATCTAGTTCTTGCACGACAGCCTAAAACTTTTCCCACGTGCTCTCTGTAGTACATGCTCGTAGTTACTTCATTCCAAGAGTTCAGAGAACTGTCAAGTGGATCGTACTCATCCATCACTTTTACTAAGGGGTGTGTGTGTGTGTGTGTGTGTGTGTGTATGTATATAGATACGAGGGTACTTCAAAAAGTTCGTGAAAGATTTGTTCTTTCAATTCTATTTTTCCACGAACTTTTTGAAGGACCCTCGTATAGTATTATAGTTCTTCCTAATCTGTTTTTCAAGGCAATTTAACCCACTCTCCTCCCAACCCCTTCCCCAATTTCAAGTATTTTCTAAAAAATTATGAAATTTTGGACATGCATGGTTTCTATGCTCAATTTCCAGACTCATTCCTATTTTCTCTGAACCTCAGTTTTCAAAACTCTAAAATGGAATTAATATCTGCCATACCAGTTTCACAGTATTGTGAGGGTAAAATGCAGTAACTTTGTGACAGCCCTCAAATAAAAAGAATCATTCCAATTACCCTTTTCAGAATGAGTTCTAGTTTCATATGTAGTGCCCTGAATTGAATATATTATCCCAGAAGGGATCTGACCAGAGCTAGGTATAGCAGGGCTCTTTATTTCTGTAATTTGGATATTGTTTACATTACTGCATCCATTAGCTTTTTGCCATCAAAGCATATTTCAGAATTCTGGCTCTTTTCATCTTACTGCTCTTACACCTCAGAATACTCTACTTATCCTGAACCTAGTTCTCCACTTGGTCTGGCAGAGGCCATAGTAGTTCTAGGCATCTAAATCTCAAGATGAAGGGAATATCTCTTCCTTAGATCTCTTTTTAAAAATAGACAGTTTTCGGGGTCGGCCCGTGGCTCACTCAGGAGAGTGCGGTGCTGATAACACCAAGGCCCCGGGTTCGGATCCCATATAGGGATGGCCGGTTCGCTCACTGGCTGAGCGTGGTGCTGACAACACCAAGTTAAGGGTTAAGATCCCCTTACCGGTCATCTTTAAAAAAAAAAATAGACAGTTTTCCAGAAGCCCCTCCAGCAGACCTCCCCTCACAACTCATCAGCCAGGGTTGTGTAACATGCCCATTTCTAAACCAATCATTGACGGAGTGGGAACCAATCATGGTTCACTCCAAGTTCCATTAGGAAGGATGAGTGGCTGTTTATTAGGTGAGGAGCAGTATCTGCTATGCTGTGCTAAGCACTTTACAATTGTTCAGTCTGTGATGTTGTACTACATTCTGCTGAGGGAGCACGAGAAGAAAATTTTGGAAGAAAAATTTCTGAGATTGGTGTGATGATGGACATTTTGCTGATGGAGGTTCTCTCCAGACCTATCCATTTGTTGTCTGGATCTATTATAGCACTTCAGAATCCAAATAAAAGTGATTTCCTCTTCCTCCATGCATGTTTCCCTCATCTGTTCAACTCACAGGAGAACAAAGGCTTTTTTTCCTCATTGCCTAGAGCTGACTTGTTACACAGCATGGATGCATGTGGAGGACCACTTGGTAATCTTACCGCCCATGTCTGGCTCTCTCTTCAGAACAGCATGATTCTCTCTGCTGCCATCTTCATCACCCTCTTAGGCCTGCTTGGTTACCTCCATTTTGTGAAGATTGATCAGGAGACTCTGTTAATCATTGATTCCCTTGGCATCCAGATGACTTCATCCTATGCTTCAGGCAAAGAAAGCACCACCTTCATAGAGATGGGCAAGGTCAAGGATGTTGTCATTAATGAGGCTATTTACATGGTAAGTATTAAAGAATAAGTATTACCTCTCTGGAGGAGGTAGCCAGCCGATGGGGTGTTCCTGGATCTAAACTGAGTCTTAATACCTAAAGTATTTGATGTCATAGAACTAAACTTGAGGATCATCTGTTCTGGTACTTATAGTGTTTCCTTTTTGACTGGCATGTCTGTAACCATAAAAGTGAAACTTATATTGAAAAGATAATTCCCTTTATTTTTAAAGAGATGCAGCAGGTTTTCATGGATAGGGAGCCAGCATTTCAACTTTATCTTCTAGCCCAGTCTCAAAATCATCTCTGATTTTTTTTTTTTTTTGTCTTTTTTCATTTAAGGAATGAGAATATACTTCTCCCCCACTTCAAAAGCTATCAGGTGTTCTACTACTTATAGATAACCACTTATGAAAAAGAACACAAAGTGAATTTCACTTAGATCTCTGCTATTTGGTTTATTTTCTTACAGCAGAAGGTGATTTACTACCTCTGCATTTTATTGAAGGATCCAGTGGAACCACCTGGGATATCCGAGGTAGTACCTGTCTTCCAGGTAAGCACAAAATGCTTTTTCCTTTCTCTAGAGAAATCCTCTGCCTTTTCCTCCTTCTGCATATCCACTGCTACTTATGTTCAGTAGGAATGTAAACTTATGTTGTCAGAGTATTGGAAGATACCTGACAGCTGTTTTTAGTGAGAATAAGGATTTTAGTTATTTCAGAAGTTCCTTTCTAAGGCAGATATAGACTTTCAAAGATATTATGAGCTCATGCATATTTTGGAAAAGAAAAGAGTCAAACATGTACCAACTTCTGCCTACAAATCACCTTTCATCTACTTTGACTCTGTCAGTCTACCAATGTACAATTTTTTATATAGAAGTTATTGATCTACATGTACTGTTATACACTATTTTGTGTCTTGCTTTTTAAATAATTAAATATGCATATTTTCTACAAAGGCCATTATACTTATTGTTTTAAATAATTATATTGCATTCTATCAAATTGCATTCCTTTATATTGAAATATCAGTTTATTTAGCCACTCTATTGTTAGCTTTTTAAAATCACGTCCAAGTTATTTTTTGTTTTGCTCTTAGAAAAAACCCACATTTACCAACATGATTGTGACAAATTACTTTATAGGTAAATATGTGTGTATGTATTTATGTATACAGTTAACCCTGCCTCACTGCCCTTCCTTTTTCACAAAGGATTTAAAACAGCTGAGCTAAAGAAAAGTTCTTTTGCATTGTAGTTCAAAATTATCTTATGAAAGCATATGACTAGTTTTATAGATTTTTATAGTATTTGAGATTGGGCTTCAGAGATTGGACATCTTTACCATACTTTTGGGGCGTTGTACTTATTTTTCTACAGTCATGGCTAATAGTGGATTTAGCTATTTTTTAATTTCATATAAAGACATTTTATTTTATTTTATTTTGGCGGCTGGCCTGGTACGGGGATCTGAACCCTTGACCTTGGTGTTACAACACTGCTTAATTAACTGAGCCAACTGGCCAGCTGATAAAGGCATTTTAAAGTTATTAAATTTGTATCTCTTTAAATGATAGACTTTCCACATTTCTTTATCAGCATTACCTATCAGTATTTCCTCTAATTTTAAACTATCCTCTCTTAACAGTCAAGTAGAATCTAGATATTGACTACGTATTTGTAACAATTCTTTATATATTTAAAAAAATTCTTTATATATCTTGGGTAGCAAACTCTTATTAAATACACTCTCCACACATCTTTATTTTCTCCATTCTGTGGTTTTTCTTTTAATTTTGGTTGTGTTACATTTCCCTGTACAAAACATTTTCAATATTTATATATTAAACTGTCCTTCTTGTCTCTGAAGACTATTTCACAAACTTGTGACACTTCTCAAGAGGGTCCGTCCTTGTTATTCCCCTTGTGTGCTCTTAGAGATGGAGGTCATGAAATGTAGACAAGTTAAAAAGCTTTTGATCATCCACCTGACACAATTTACAAGCTGGGATGTGGACCTGGTTGGGATTCTTCTCAGCAAGGTGCTCTGAAGCCTGAACTTCCTGCTTCTCTGAGCTCACACCTGCACCATTTAGATCCCTTGATGTGAGTGAAAGATTGAGGTTGCATGTGGATGCAGCACCCTGAGCACTGTTACACTCACCTTGACTCTGCATTTCTCCCCTTTGGAATTCAGAGTGCCAAGCCCCGGCTGGACTGCTTGATTGAAGTATACAGGAGCTGCCAGGAGATCCTGGCACACCAGAAAGACACATCAACAAGCCCATGAGCCCCAGCATTCAGAAGGCCAGTATTATCTTCCGTGAGAGATGACTCCCAAGCCATAGTTGCTGGTTTATTTTCTGTATTCTAAATCATTTGGTGGACACAGTCCTAGGAACCAGTACGGATGGAGTGGATCTCAGAGCTGTAGAGCAGGTGACTAGAAATCTAACTCAGAGTATTTCTGTGTATTACAGTGTTCCCCTTGTAAGGTTTTGCCTACTTTACTGAGGGGAGATTAAGAATTTTGACACGAAATGTGAAAAGTAGTATCGGCGAAGGTACATTGTGAAATTCCTAAGCACATTAAAGTTTATTTTGTGTTGACATTTGTGGAGCAAGACAATGGGAAACTGACATCAGATCACTTGGGAAAGGTATAATAATTTCCAACTGCATAGTACCCCTATATATAAAGTTAAGAAAAAAAAAAAAGTCTAGGGCCGGCCCTGTGGCTCACTCGGGAGAGTGCGGTGCTGATAACACCAAGGCCCCGGGTTCGGATCCCACATAGGGATGGCCGGTTTGCCCACTAGCTGAGCGTGGTGCTGACAACACCAAGTCAAGGGTTAAGATCCCCTTACCGGTCATCTTTTAAAAAAAAAAAAAAAAAAAAAGTCTAGCTCTTCAGTTAGCAGGAAGAAATATCCTACAAAAGATTAGTCTCTGTCTCCCTTGCTCCTGTGTTCTATACAGGGTTAATTTATGATAATTCTTAATAAACAGATCTCCTTCCAAAGCATATACAATAACTGCATGGTTCACAGACAGCTGTTTTTTATTGACAAACACGATCATGGCATTTCAGTCATGGGTATCAAACACAATACTTTTATGTTACTCAGCATTTTCTGTCATTTCAAAAGCTGCTCTTACCAAGAGGGATGAGACAAAATGCCAGAAATTTGACTTTGGTTTCCAGACATGGGACTCTCATGTTAAAGAAGGTAAATAAGCAAATTATAGAAGCCTTTGTTTCTAAGGCATTTTTTTCTGTATAAAATTAATAAACTAAGGGAGAATTCCTGGAGGATTAGGAAGGAGAGAAGGTGGAGGAAACAGTTTAAACCCCAAATCCAGGATGAACACAGCTCCACTCTTGCTTACTCTCTTTCAAACACTAATATTTTTGATATCTCTGGCTAGATAATATTATCCTTATTGGCCTTAGAGACACTGATGAGAGCTCTGGTTTTACATCAGCCCTGGAGGGCTTATCCAGGAGTATGGTACATGTGACATGTGACTTGTTCGAGGTAGTAATGTCTCAGCTAGGTCCCCAAATCCTGGGGTGAAAGGCGGGAATAGAAATGGCTGTAAAACTGCCTACCTTGCAAACTCAAGTTCAATTTAAAAAGGCAGAAATTCTGATGTGCTTCTTTTTAGTCCTGCTTGTCAGTTTAAAGGGTAAAAGGGGAAACTTATAGCAGCTGAGGTGTTCAGATAAACTAGAACCAGCCTTGCAGTTTTTGCTGTGTGTGCCCCCATCCCCCAACACACACATTGTTGGGGTTAAAGGCTTGGTTCTTGGATGCTACTGTTAAACCCATACAGGTTTCAGAACTTTAAGACAAATGGTAAGGCTGCCTTAGAGTTATGAAATAAAACTCAGTCTCTCAGATGTTGGAAAGTCAGAGTATGAACTCTTTCATTTTTTTTTTTTTTTTTTTTTTTCGGTTAGAGGAGGGTATAGACAAAGATCATCTCCTCTGCACTCAACTAGAAGGTCTGGGTTGAACAGGATCATGGTGTTATCAGGAAGGCAAAAGGCAAAAGAACCTTTCTGCTCTTAGGCTAAGGCAAATTTCATATTCGTGCCTTCTGCCCTCCAACTCATTCCCAGTGGAAGTTCACCAGATGTCTCAAGCACTTCCAGGCCCATGAGCCTGGGGGGTCTTCTGTGTTCCTGACTCATCTTTGGTGGCCTCAAAGAGCAACAAAAAGCAGGGTGCATTTGCTTGGTCTTTCAAAGAGTGGGGAAACAAACGACGACCACCTCGTCCTACAGTAGTGAGCACAGCCTTCACTGAGCCCTGTCCAGTTGTTAAAATGAGACAGGGAGAGGTCAGATTGGACCTGCCCCCCGCCTCTGCCCTTGCTTGGACAGTGTGTGGTACTGGGTTTGGCTTCCAGTCCAGTGTGAGAGAAAAGAGCTTGAAACTTAGCAGGGATAGCGTGCTGTCCTGCAAAGATAGGAGCTGCTGCCTCCGAAGTGGCACCACAAATGTCTGTTCACCAATAAAGGGGAACAGTGAGTCTATTTCTTTTTCTCCAGCTCTGCCAACACCTTTCCCACTTGGGAAAGGAAGTCCAGTTTTAATGAGTTCTAGGCTTTTTCAGAGTTCAGGTGAATTGGAAATTTTAGTCCTGTTCAGGGATGCTCAGAAAACTTCAAGTATTAATCCTCACATAAGGACCATATAGAATATAAAAAATATTTACTTCTCTGAGAGTATCAGTGCAGAAAGCCCCCACTTACAGCACTGATGCCCTCAGTTATAGGACCATCCCTGTCTATGTCTAGAATCAGGTAGCATCTAGAGTCAGTGTCTTGTGAAAAAAGAGTAAGTGGTTTTTACACTGAGTCTGGATTTTTAAAAGTTGGACCCTGAAATATTGTAAGGCACCTAGAGTGTAAAGTCAGACACTGAAATACACATTTCACAGAACAAATGGGGTCGGGGTGGGGGCTGTTAGACCCATCACAGTAGTATCATACCCCAGGATATGTATCTCTAATCCCAGAGACACCAGTGGTGGTGGGGAAAGGGGTAGAAGAAATATTCACAGCAATGTTGGCCTTTTGGTAGCACAGGGAACCGAAGCAAAGAGCTGCCGTCCGTCCAGTTCCCATGGCTGGTGGGCTGCTGGTGGGTGAGTGGGTGGATTCACAGCTGCTGAGCAATAGTTCATGTAGCTGGCCATGAGGAAGGTGGCTTCTGCAATCTAAGGAGAGGTCAGAGAAGCACAGGAATTGAACTAGCCTTAGCTTGAATTCTGGCTTTCACACTTAGTAGCTGTTATATTGGGTACATAACCATCCTGTGCTTCAGTTTATCTTATAAAATGCCCACCTGGGAGAGAATATGTAGAGGGGATCATTACTGTGAGGTTCAGAGGACTAGTGAAATGGGCATCTTTTGGTCTGGAGCTCCTCTGATATGCACGGAACCCTCCTGAGAAAAGGAAGACCAACATTCTACTCTGGTTATTTCTACCACCTAGGAAAGGGGCTTTTTGGGGGAAGACGTCTGTATATCTTCTCTTTTGGCAGCGTTGGTGTTAAAAAGAGGAGGAGGTTTGGCAAAATGCAACTTTAGGATTAAAAGTGGAGAATAACAGGGTTTCCAGTCATTCTCAGAAGGTAGTCAGGAACAGTAAATCAGAACTGAGGTTTCTAAGCCTTTGTAATTATTATTTTTGGTGTTCAACATTGCCTGTACTGAGTAGGAACAAAGCCTTCAGAGCAAAAGAGATCTATCTTTTTGTTGTCTTCAAGACCACAAGGAAGGGGGAGCAATGTGGAGACTGTCCCACTTTGTGGCTAATGGGGGGGGGGCAGTAGAACCCAGGAATAAGGTGACAGCACCATAAAGAGGAAGCTGCCCTGCCTGGGGGCCTGCTGCACGGAAGAGAAGAGCAGGCAGGCACTGACTCAGGCCTGCATGGTGCTGGGGCTTGAGAGAATTAAAAGAGATAAAGCGAAGAGCACAGCAGTAGCTAAACCAGAGTTAGTTCCCTCCCGACTAGCCCCTCTACCTGCCCCCTCAACAGTGACACAGAGACGCAACTCTACCTGAACCCTTTGGAATAATGATTACTGACAAGGCCAAAAGTTGTATTTGGGGCAAGGCCCTTCTAGAATATGAGTATAATCCCAGTGTCCTCTCTAAGCTCCAAACCCACCACATCATACCAGATCAGAGCAAAATGTTTTAGCAACTGTCAGACCCACCTTGGGAACAGCCATCCGGAAGATCAACTTCTCAATGTGGCCTTTTCCAGAGCTCTGGTCTGGAATGGATCTAATCACAAGCATGAAGTCATCCCTGCAGCCACCAAAGGTCATCAATGAAGAGTAGGGGTAAATGACGTGCACTTGCTGTGGAAAAGAGCCAGTTAGTTCTGGGGAAACTTTCCACCTGTCTCCTGAGCTAGGTACAAGCATCCCCTGTCTCCAAAGTGATCATAATTTAGAAATCTACATCTTGAATATCTACAAGCTGTGTCTAAACTAGAGGACAGCAGTGGATGAGGGGAGGGGAACCACAGTCACTTAGCTCAGGCCTTTGAGTCCAGAAAGGAGAAGAAAAGACAATGTTCAGGAGGAGGAGAGGTCAGGGAGCCAGCCCTCATCTTTCCGTACCATGGTGTTGTGGTCCAGGATGCTGATGCCATCCTCATTCACAGCAATCCACACCAGAGTGTTCTCCTTGGAAGACAGCTGGGCAGGCTGAGGAAACAGAAAAATCCCATCAGATATATCCACAGCAAGAGATTCTGAACTGTAAGGACTTTCTGAGGAAGAAGATATGTCCAGGGATCTGCTGGGCATGATTTCCAACCATCTCATCTTGGAAAACATGGAAGGTGGTATTTGTACAGCCTAAGGAGTAAACAGTCAAGGCTGCTTGTGGTGGGAGGTGTCTTGGGGCTCTGGCCACCTACTAACAATCTCAAGGAGGGGAGGGGATCACTATCTTATACCTAGGACCCATCCTGCACAGTACACTGGATGGAAAGCTTTGTGCTGTGGAATAGAGGCCAGTCTTGGCTGCTCTGTTATGGGCATGGGGAACAGGCTGTTTTCTCCTAGCTCTCGGAAACACAGTATTCCACCCACAGTCTCTCTCAGCTGAAATGTATCTTGCTTCAATCAGTTTCCCAGGAACTGTAAAAGTAGGAAAGCAAGAATGCAACCTTATGGGCTTTAGGCCCTTCCACTGAGAAAGTGACTTTGATAGACATTTCCTGGAATTTTCATTGCCTGTGCTGCAGTAAGGTAATCCAGAAGATCTATCTCTCCTACCCAAAAGACTGGGGAGAAAGATGGACATATCATGTTTTTCAGAAGCTTTTCCCAACCTCGCAGACTAAGTGAGTCCCCATTATGTGCCTTTATAGCACCCCTGTACTTTTCCTTCATAGCACTTATGACAGCTTGTAAAAAAAAAAATGTATATTTATATATATACAGAGAGAATGAGTATGTATGTAATTATTTGATTAATGTGTATCTCCCCCACTAGATGGGAAGCTTCATGAAGGCAAAGACTGTCTGATAACCTCAAACAACTAGCACTAGATATAGTAGGAGGTTAACAACTATTCGTTGAATGAATGAGTGAATGTCCATTTTCTGATCTGTAACTTCAGTGAAAAGGATCACAGTCCAGCTTTGAGAACAGGATAATGTCTGTGATTATCTACAAAGTTCATGCATACCAAATACTGGTGAGGAAAAGTTCCAACTGAAATTACTGTTGGCCACCTGGCTTTCATTCAGAGGTGAAATTAGCTGTTGCCTGGGTAGTTTGATTCCCCTGTGTACCTCTAGATCAGTAGAGGTGTGTTTGTTTAGGTTATATATCATTCTGTCTTTCAAACTTCCTTAAAAATGAAAGCACTGTTGAGAAAGATATTATATCAAGTCTGAATCCTTGTGTGTGAATTAGTTGATCCTATCTTTTCCTTCAGGGATAGCTTAGAGCATAGAGCATGCTTTTTTTTTTTTTAAAGATGACTGGTAAGGGGATCTTAACCCCAGCGAGCAACCGGCCATCCCTATATAGGGAACCCGTGGCCTCGGTGTTATCAGCACCACACTCTCCCGAGTGAGCCACGGGCCGGCCCCCCTGCCTTTTTTTTTTTTTTTTTTTGGCAGTGGCCTGTATGGGGCTCCAACACTTGACCTTAGTGTTACAACACCGTGCTCCAACCAACTTAGCTTACCGGCCAGCAGGGGTAGCATTAAGAAGTCAAAAAAGGAAAGATGAAGATGAGCTTTGAATCACAACTCTGCTCAGGACCATGGGAAGCTGTAGTAGGCCAGAAATGGATGGAGAGAGAGTGGAGTTGCTAGTGTGGAGGTGGGGGTTGCAGACTGGACTGGCTCAAACACAACCAGGTGGGGACCACAGCTCTAGCAGAAACCTACTCAGAGCATTCCTGAGGGTGCGGGGTACTCCTTCCACTGGCACCTACCTGAGCAGCAAAGAGCTTAGCACCAAAGAAAGGCCATTTCCGGGCTACAGTCAGGTAGATGCGGATGCACTCGGGAGGGGAGCAGCCTTGTAGTGCTGCCCACTTTGTGGTCAGCATATCTGCCAGGTGCCTGGTTTGGGCAGATGAAGAGAAATGGTGCCAGTGAAGTGCCAACGTGTTTTCATTATAGCTTTTTTTTTTTGGCAGCTGGCCAGTATGGGGAATCAAACCGTTGACCTTTGTGTTCCAAGGCCATGCTCTAACCAACTGAGCTAACCATCCAGCCCTATTGCAGCTCTGAGGCCCCCTCCCCACAGTGACTCCCTGTGAGGCCTTGCAGCCTACCTACCTCAGCTGTTCTGGGGGCGCCCCGTGTCTGTAGCGCCTTGGGTAGAACCTGTCTAGGACCTGCTGGAGGAGATGCTGGGCCTTGGCAGGGGGTGTGCCCCCAGGGCCTGGCAGGATAGGCTTCTCCAAGTCCCCGTATTCTACCTGTGTAGAAGCACATGAGACCAGTCAAGAATCTGGAGGTGGATAAGACCAGGTGGGTGCTGTGTTGGGAGGTGGAGTAAACCATTACTTTATTACTTTATTGGTGGGGTGTGAATGGATGTAAAAACACTTGCAAACAGACCCTTTAGCTCAAGTTCCACAGACACTAGAGAAACAACCTTAGGATCCCAAAATATTAGAGTTTGTCTAGACCATCTTTCTTGTTGCAGCTGAGGTAAAGTGTCTTACCTAAAGACACAGTTTATTAGTGGCAGATGAGGGAAAACAATGTGGAAATTCTGGCCTCCACTGCAAAAATATGGAGTACAGGATTGAAGACGTTACAGATCCTTGAATACAACAGAGTGTTCCCAGTTCTTCCATTTACCAGCTTTGTGTCCCTGAACAAGTTACTTAAATTCTCTGTGCTTCAATTTCCTCATCTGTACTTAACAGATGAGGACTATATGGACAATACATATAAAATGCTTAGCACAGGGCCTGCTATATTCATATTACTGTATATAAAGATCAACTATTATTAGTTGATTTTTACTCTTAAAGTTAGTTTATTATTACTCCTTTCTTTCCAGTATGTAGATCCAGACTCTTTCTTATGGGAACAATGAAGGTATACCAGATACCTTTGGCAAGACAGCCTCCTAAAAGTAACAGGAAGGTCAAAGTCTGAATGTGTGTCCCTCTTCCTAATTCTACTTATGATGCTTGATGGCTTATAAAATTTTATCACATATATTATGAGATATTCATTATCCAGGTATCATAGTACAGCCCTGTGGGCAAGACAGGGAGGTACTTTTTTTTTCCAGTATACAGAGAAGGAAACTAAAGTATAGACAAGTTGAGGTGTCTAGGACTCAAACCCAGGTCTCTGGATTCTAGGTCGAGCGTTCTGCTTGTACCTGCAGTGAATGAGGAACTCTGCTGTGTAAGGTGTCAGCTACTCTCCGTACCGGCGACGGCAAGGCTTCCCTCTCCTGGCCACCACAGGATCTGCAGATTCCTGTGTTTTCAGCTGCCTTGTGCATTCCACCTGGGAATCCCAAACCTCCTGCTTCCTGAACAGAACTTTACCTGAGCCATCAGAGCAGCCATCTCAAGAGCCAGTTCCTTGTTGACAGGAAACCTCCCTGCCACTATTTCTTCACTAGTTTGGGAGGCGAGGAGCAGCCGTTCTCTCTCCGTCTCCCCTTTGACTTGACTCCGAAAGTACAGCCTACAGGGAAGAGTGAGAAGAAGCCAGGACTCACATGGGATCTCAAACAGGGATGAGGCTTTCTCTTGACCTGTTTATCTTGATTTCCCCCAAAATTACTCTTTTTATACCATTTGTGAACCTATTTTCTATTGCCTCCAGAAAGAAGTAAAAAAAAAAAAAAATCCACTCTGACCAGGTCAGCTAAATTATAGTGCCTTGGGAGAACTGGGTTAAATCAGTAGTCATGTCCACTTGTCCTGGAAAATGTTATCAGAACACCATTTTTACTTAGAAGCAGATGTAATGGCACCAGAAAGTCATAAAATAACCTAGAACGCTTTTTGTAACCCTTACCCTAGATCCCTGCATGTAGGATGTAACCTAGTAACAACCCCAAATCTATGTATCATGTACAACCAACAGAAGAACTGAGGGAGTGATTAGGTGGGGCTGTCCTCTCTCCTCTGATCCCTAATCCCCTTTTTGATTATAAAATGCTAAGCTTTGCTAGATCCCTTCAGAGTGCATTTCTCAGGGCAAACTGACGTATGTGTTTACCTGGTTGCAATCATCATATTGGCTCAGTAAATCCTATGCTTTATATGTTCAGTCTCAATTTCTTTTAGGTCAACACATGTAACCATGCATGACACAGAGCAGATGCAGGGCCATGCAGATCTCACACCAATAGTAGTACATGGTTAATTCTGAATACACCATTAGACTTACTGGATTTGGTAAGGGGAATCTGGTACCTGGGATCACAGTTTATTAGGGGACTAGATGAGTTAAGATTCCAAAATATTAATGGAAATTATTTACCTGGAGACAGTGGGATGGAATTTTCTCCTCAAATTGATAGAAAGTCAAGATTTCTATGTCTATATTTCCTGGGATTGGTATAGGAGCTATTTATTCCTTAGCCTTAAATATCTGGTGCTCAAATAAAATTTCGCTCTCATAAGATATGTAGCCATCCCATGAGGTTGGTTTTCTTGGCACGTGTGTGTGCACACATGTGCATGCACACACGCAATACAGGGAAGGCTGACAGAAAGCCTGAGCTACCCAGGGTATCATAGGATTAGGAGCAGAGCCAGCCTGGACCCCACCTAATAACCACCACACAGTGTTATATCTGTGGGCCCCTCTGTCTATCTAGGACAGGCCATCTAGTTAGGGAGGTGATGAGCTGGCACCCAGGGGCAGCCCTCGTGTTTGGCCCCACCCTCGGGCAGTGCTCAGGACCTGTTCTTGTACATCAGCTTCACGACACGTGTCCCTCCCTCAGACTTTCCGGGGTGCAGCTCCTTCAGGGCTTGTTCCCACTTGGAAATGGCATCGCAGATCTTGAGGAGGCAAAAGAGAAAGATCAGGAAAGCCCCCGATGGGGTCCACCCAGGACTTGACTTGGGTAGAGAAGAGCAAAGCTGAGTGAGGGTCCTCCCATCAGGAGGCTGACCTGCGGGGCCTCACACTCCCAGGAACTGAGGTGTCTGCAACCCCCTTACAGTCAGGAGGAGGGAGCCCTGGGCATAGTGAGCACCAAAGCAAGGAACACTGCCCCCACTGGCCTTACCAGCAAGGGGCCTCCCCGGAGGCTAGACAGGACCCAGTCAAAAACCATGGCCTCATATCACTGGTTCCATTTCCACTTCACTGACTGCCATTCTCGTCTTTGACAAATATATCCAAAGACCTACTGTGTAACAAAACCTGACATGCACCCGGACATTTATAAAGAAGGTATGTGGCATAGTTTTTCTGGGCCGTGGTAAAAGACTATAGAGGCCTTTGTCCTGTTGTTATAAAGAAAGCAGACACTGGAGCCAAATATTCTCATCAAGTGCTATAGCACATTCCCATAAACACTTAATATCACCCATAGCACTAATCTAAGGCCACAATACAAGATCAGTCTTAAATCCCATTCAAAGGCCCTTACTTACAGAGGTACCATAAGGACCTACTTCCTTAAGATGTGGTTGAACCTATAAGCATAGCAAAGGCCCTGGCAGACGGTAAAAGTGAGGTGCTGGCATGCAACCCGACACCCAGTGGGTCTAGGCAAATAGTTGTCTGCCTTTGGGTGGATAGACGTAACTGGCAGCAGGCTCGGCAGGGCCTCCCTGTCTCTATACCAAGCTGGATGCTGCTCAGCCACTCCAGGAAGGCTAGGGAGTGATCTTGTCTTCAAAGACAAGGACACACAACAGCTTTCTCTGCCTGTAAGTACATTTTAGGATGGCACAGAAATGCTGACCTGGGGAGTGCCTGGGGCTCAGCACCAAATGGGCATCTGAACAGTCAGGCACCTGCCAGACAGGCTCTTTCCCACCAGTGTCCCTGAGCCAGGAGGTGGCACAGGAGGCGCTCAGTCAGCTTAGCAGGGAGGCTTTCACCTTGACGCTCCCCTGCAGGCAGTGTTCCAGGTCCCTGCCAGAAGGATCATCCGTGAAGAGGGCAAAGCCAGAGTGAGCTGACTTCCTCATGCCTGTCTCCTGGTTCAGCCGCTGGAGGAACTCACCAACTGTGGAGGAGCCATCAAATCCAACCACCTGAGGGGGAAGAGGTATTCTGACCCAGAGCATACCTTCTGAGAGGAACTCGAGGGCTGGCAGAGGGGTCTGAGCCCAGAAGTGGGAGAGGAGCCTAGGGCAAATGCCAGAGGCTAAAGCAAGCTGTTTTCCGCATTCATGAGCAGAGGGCCAGTGCATAAGGAACATGAGCCTGCCCACCATAGTAAACTGGAATCAGACATAAGCTTGGTCCCTGCTTTACTGCCAATCATTTTGTCTTTTTTTTTTTTTTTTTTTTTTTTTTTTTTCCCCGGGCCCCGCAAAGGGTCCCCACCCCCCGGTGCCCCCCCCGCCCGGGCCGGGGACCCACAAGGGG